AGAGAGACAGAGAGAGAGAATCAAAATCGTGAGATTTATTTGCAGCCAAAATCAGAATACAAATAAAATGTAGATGCACTCTAAGATCAAGCTGATATATATTTTGTCATCTATAGAAGCTAATACTAATTAATGGCTATCCTGTTGACATAATTCAACTGACAAATAACATAGCAAGTTGTAACTACTATACTAAATGATTTTTGAGAGTAGTTGAATCATATGGTTTTGACTTTCTGGAAATTAAATAAACTAACCCCATGCAAGAGAATGTTCTGGTCAGCCTGTGTGGCCTGAGTCATTAACAGTAGTGCATAGACAGACGAACCCAGAGAGTCATGGGGCTCTGTCATGCGGGTACAGCTGCCCCACTCCCTGTGTACAGTGACCTGCCAGGAAGATAAGGAAGTTTATGTGAATTTCATATTGCTTGCTGCTTTTTGTGTTAACAAGTTCCCTTCTGAGTTAAAGTACTTGATTTTGAGGGAGGGTATTTTAACACCTTGGTTATACGTGAAACAAGTCACACAGAATACAGTGTAAATCTGAAAAAAAGAATGGTCCAGACTGTTCATCAAAATAGGTACAACATGAATTGCTCTTCGGGTGAATTGTTGGTGGTTGTATACTACAGGTTCCTTGGAATTAATTTCATTTTAAAACTGGAGGGAGAATTTATTTGAGAGGTTTCTTTTTCTTTATAAAGTGAACTTTCTCTCCTTCATATCTATTGAAGAAGCTAGGCTGGGAAACATCTGCACATCCCAGCCTATTTTGTCTCCCACTCATACTCACACAGTCTTTGCATATCACCCCTGGAATTGTGGGGTACTGAATAGTTTCTTAGTGGAAAATGTTAAGTGCCCTTGGTGAAAGAGGTTGTGGAGTTCTCCTGTTGTTCAAATTCTGAGGAAAAAACACTGCTCCTTTTTTTTTTTTTTTTGCCAGCTCAGCCCACCTTGGGTGTGTGGCTGGCACCACATGTGGTGCGGGGGATCCAACTGTAGCCCCCTGCACCGGCATAAGCTTGCCTAAGTAGGCGCTTTAGACCACTGAGCTATCTCACTGGCCCCAACACTGCACTTTTTAAGGAGAACCAACTGTTTGGGAAGCTCTATATTAGATGTTCAGTATTCTTAGAATATTATATAAAGGACAAAGTTACTAAGTTATTCATGTTGCATGTTAACTTTATAAATATTAAATTCAGGTGAAGTAATTCTTTCCTATGTATTGACATTTGCTTTAGAGTAACAAATATATCATAATTTTTGTGTGTGTTTCTTTGACCTTTATTTTTGGTATTCTGCAGTACTTTCAACAAGATATGAATGACTCCCTGAAAAAAATAACAGTTGCAATTCAGAATTCTTAAGCATCCTTTGAAAATAATAACCTACAAGACATAATTGACATTCAGAAACTAAAATCCATTCTACCTCAAGCCATGAAATTATACTACTCTGAAATGACGACTGTAATAAATCTACCCAGGAGAGTTAAAAATGCAACCATTAAAGTTGCCAAAAATATTAATGTACTAACATTACATATTTTATGTTACTTTCTTACAACCTCAAGATACATTAGTAGCAAAATGTATCCCTAGGCTAGATTCCTAAATGAGATGGCATGCTTTGTAAAATTAGTGCATACAGGACAATTACAAAACTTCAGTACTTATAATCTATGAATTTCTGGTCACTAGTGCCACTTCTTTTATAGAAGCACAGGAGCCATCTCTACTGTTGGTCATTCTGATTATTCTTGCTCAGATCGCTTGTCTGAACAGTTTCTTTTTTCCCTTCTGTCATTTGCTGGTGTCACCTAGGATCTTTACTGTTTGTTTTTTCCAGTCAGCACCATTCCTAGGTAACTCCAACCTGCCCTAACCACAACTTGCCAGATACAGCATGCTGATCTTCATGTTCAAGACTTGAGATTTGTTTCTCTCTCTCTCTCTCTCTCTCTCTCTCTCTCTCTCTCTCTCTCTCTCTCTCTCTCTCACACACACGCTGTATTGTCATACTGCAATAGAATTGTAGACTTTTGTGTATGCCAGAGTAATGGCTTGAAGGACTTCCACAGCATGAAATCTGTACTGATGTCTCTATACACTCTCTATCTTTTCATGTGCTTTGGAACTCAGTTTGCAACAGAAATTGCCAGGACTGTTTAAAACTCTCCTAAAACATATTCATATTAGAGTAGATTGCAGACCTAACTGTTCCCTGTAATCTTCATCCAACAATGATGAGAATTTAATAAAAGCATCACCATAAGAGAATGTATACTTTTTTGGCAGAGATACTGGTTTCATTTATTTGTTTGCATACTTACAGCATCTGGCCCTAAAATTGGTACCATAAATAAAATAAAATGAAACATATACCTGCCAAGCTATTAAAGGGGAGAAAATGGCATTGTTGGGGTTAGAATTTCCTTTTATTGTACTCTTCTAAACAATGTATTTATTTTACTTACCTTTCCACTGAAAGTTTTATTAAATATCATGACTAGTTTATTTTTAGTACATTTTAATAAAATGAGATTGATTTTTATGAGGTTTTACCTCTCACTTAAAGGAAAAATTAGGCTTTCTATACTTGTATATACTTACCTTATAAGACTTTATTCTAATTTCATAATTTATTAGTTCTGCTTAATTTTGATCCAGGGATGAATCAGAAAGGCACTTAAAGGTTTCTTTTTTTTCATTTATGTATTTGGTACAGGGTCTCACTGTGCAGCTTGGCCTCGTAGTGATCCACCTGTTTTCAGCCTTTCCAGCCCTGGGATGACAGGTGTGCACCACCCCAACTAGACTCTGTCACTGGCTCAGCGCACTCCAGGAGTGGGACTGGAACAGCATGTGGGACTGGGGGTTGAACCCTGGTCCCTGCACTTTCCAAAGCAGGTGCTTAGTTCACTGAGCTATCCTGCCAGTCCCAGAAAGGCATTTAAAACAAAAATTTAAAAAGAAGCTTGTCAATAACTTAAAACTGAACAAAAAAGACAGATTTATATTCAAACTTTTCAACAGCTAGAATGTGGATTAAAGTTAACCGTGGTGTACATCAACTATAATGAGATCAGAAATATGACTCTTTGCAGCCTGAATGGCTCTGTGTACACGCATCTGGGGCTGCCACATGCTTGCTGTCCATGAGCACCTCACTTAGAAGAAAGCAGAGCATACCTTCTTTGTCCTTGTGTGTGCTTAAGTGCGCTAGGAGGTTATCATTCGTTTGCACGCAGTACGCCTCCCGGGTCTGGACGCCCCCTCCACAGAGGGCAGTCTGGTTGCCTCGCCTCTTGTCTTGCTGGCTGAGCAAGGGGTCCACGCGACATTCCGTCCACTCTGTGGTCCTCCAGCCATACCTACAGGAAGGAAAAACCAGCAGTGGCTGCCATGCCTAGTGAGGGTAACATTTCTCCACTCCTTTCATATTTTGTTTTAAAAATTATTTTAATACTGTTTTCCTCTCAACTCCATCATGGACTGGAAGTAGGATGAAAAGCAAATTTCAGTGCCTTGCCTATCTTCTGTAGTGCCCAGGGAGGAGCAGGGTTAAATGTAAAATGATTCTGTTTTAATTGCCATTTGTAAATATTTTATGAAAAAAGCAAATACTGAAAGCATAAAATTTTATGTTCAATTAAGCTAAGCAAACCCAAGCCTGCCCTTTCTTGATGCTCATAAACAAAGAAAGATTAAATTTGAAAATGGAAAACATCCCAAGTGATGAACTCAAACATTTGTTTTGTCTCTAGTAAAATGAATATTGCTTCTTCACACTGGAGCAAAACTATAATTGTGTTAGAATTAAAGGAAACAATTCAGGGCTTTCTCTTTATTGGCAAGAATAGGAATTGGCTCCTCTTCGCCTCTGATGAATGTTGACAAATGGAAAGTGCTGATATTTCTAATCAGTGAAGTGTAGGAAAGACAATCTATGACGCACAATTAAAGTACCAATCAAGATCATGATGCAAAAGAAATGTTAGGGGACTGACGCGTGCTTGAAGGACATAGGCAGGAGCCATTTCCTAATGCACTTGAAGATAGAGGCAGCGTTTTTTCATATCTAGGATAGGAATACTCTAAAAGCCCAAAGAAAATAGCTCATGTAGAACTTGGAGTTGAGTCACTTTAACCAAGATGTTTTCTCAGTAAGCAGATTAACAGCCAACATAGGTGCAAATGGCCATGCCAGTGCGTATCTCAGTTAGACAAAAAGGTTAAAGGGGGCCTTCGATGTCAGATCTGAAGCTTTCCTTGGTCAGAGAAGTTCCTTGACAGTACAGCCAAGAGCACGATGGAGAGTCATGGCTTAGCAGATGAAGGGCTGGGTGTCAGGGACAATACTCTTGGCATCTGTTTGTAAAGGTAGGGTAATACTCAGGTCAATTCTAGGAACACGGAGTTGATGCCCTTTTGCAAAGACAAGGTACAGAGAGGTCAAGCTAAATAATTCATTTATTAGGGAACGTAAATGATGACCACTTGAAAATGTAGAATGAAATTTCAAGTTAGGTCCTTTCAAGGAGCCCCAGGAGAGGAATGGATTTCCAGTTCTGTAAATATGTTATACAGTCTAAGAAAAATGCTACTTCCTTAAAAAAGGGAGCAGAAAGAGACTCAAAAGATTTTATCAATTTTGTTAATGATGTTTAAATATAAGAGGATAAAGACAAAAATAAAAAATTCACAAGAGGGAAAAGAAGCTGAAAATTCTGGCAACTTCCTTTTGTATGTCATATGGCGAGAAATCAACAAATGGGACAGTTGGGGACAGAAGGAAACTGGAGTTTTCAGTTACTTGTTATATTAGAGGACAATGGGTAATTTCAAGAAGCTGCGAATTGAAGTTCTCACATAAATCATCACCAGTTTTGTTATTTTTAGCTGTAATGGTAGGAGTATTAATTTCCTTTCTCACTGGTTTGTGAAGTTCCAATTGTATGCATGGTTTTGAAATGTGTAGAATATTCCAGAGACGCTCATGATGAGGTTTGTGCACCACCGAGAAACTCAAGTTTGCTCATTTGTTTTGTATCTATTCTGTATTCAGATAAAGCTGAACTGTTGTGGTTGCCAAGAGAGTTCACAATAATGTCTTGGAAATAATGCTTTTAAGGATGAACCGAACAGTGCTGCACTGCCAAGTACTTGTGGACTTGTCTTATTTCACGTGAATGCAATCATTTTCTGGGTACTTACTATGTGTTGGACTTTGTTATACACTGTAGTGCTGAAACAGGAAATATATAAGGCACACAGATGTAACACCACACCTATGCATAGATCTTAAGATTAATAAACACAGTTCTAGTCTTTAAAGACTTTAATGTTTCATTAGTTTGGAATAGTATTTTATTCTATTTAATGGATATATATATATATATATATATTTTGAAAGTCTACGGAATAGGGATAAACAAGCTATAAAATCTAAGCATCAAATCAACCTGTCACTTGCTTGTGTAATAAATTTTATTGGAACATAAGCAAATTCATTTGTTGACAGACTGTCTATAATGCCAGTGACGATGTGGAATTATTGCAAAAGAGGAATATGCGACCTGCATAACCCAATGTATTTATTACAGGCCCTTAGGGAAAACAAAAACATTTGCCAACTGGCATTACAGAAAGTACCTAGGTAGAGAAATCCTGCTAAAAAGTTTAACCTTGGTGGATATTTAGAAGCTTCGACTTTATTCTGCAAAACCTGTATTTCTTTCTTCTTCTTTTTTAAGCATAGAGTTTGGAGGGGGCTATTGTACGTTTCTGCTGTAAATGTGTACAAACTGCTGCGCTTTGAGCTACTGTTCAGGTCAAACAGTGCGGGTCACTCACGTGGAACAGGGCGCAGCCGCATCTTCTGGGGCCACACAGGCTTCTTTTTCTTCAAGTTCCGGACACTCCTTTTCACTGCCCACGGGAAACTGCCTGATGGTTCGAGTCCTCACGCGCACGCCGGTGGGGGACGACGACGTCTCAGCCTGGCACACTTTTGAGCACGGGCTCCATTCCGACCACTCAGACACCTGACACTCTTTGGTGATCACGCAGGACTGGAAAGTCGTTGGCAGCTTCTCCTGCTGGCAAAAGCTGCAAAAAAGCATTGACAGTCTCAGCGCGGACTCTCGGGCAGCGATGGGCGCTATGTTGTACACTCCGCAGTAAACAGTGGATTGGGCGTTTTCATTTCTACTTTGAGGTGTGGTTTCAATTTCATTGAAGATATATTAACATTTACAATGTGTAAAAGCACGCTCAAAACTAACATTTTCATTACTTCCCATTTTGTAAGAGTCGTTAAAACATGCACAGGAAATAGGAAATAAAGGAGTTTAAGGAAAATTAGTTGCAGCTAGGTTTACCATAGTTCTCATTTTACTCATTCTGGAATTGTTTTAGTTTAGGTAACGAGAAACCAAGAACTGTTAATGTACATCAATTTCCATTTTGTTTAGTGACTTAAGGATGCTGGGCTAAATTCAACATGGTTTTGAGGAGAGAAAGTAATTTAATATGTGCCTTAATATTATTTTAATATCTTTTGAAATTTTATTTATAATTTCTAATTATAATGTGTCTATTCAACTACATCAAAATTTCTAATTAACAGTTGAATATATAGTACACATAAGCATATGATAATGAAATGCATTCTAAATATTGGAAATAGGCATGTATTAATTTGTAGAGGTATTCATTAAATAGACCACCATGTGTCCTTAATGAACTATTTATGTTCAAACACTTGTCTACCTCTTTCTATTTCTACTTAAAGTAGAGAATCCTGGATCCACATCACAATATCTACATTGAAGATGAAGATATTACAAATGCCAACGCCTAAAAGCTTATGCGCTTTGAGGAGAGTTTGGAAGTAAGATGCACTGTGTTGACTCCTAGTTAAAGTCTCGCCATCTCAGTAACCCATGATGTAAGTTCCTGCGTGCAGACTGTTACCAAGAAGAGAGATGTACCCCGAATGGGAGAATGCACTGATGATGTGACATTATTTGGGTGCTGCATTTATCTATGATCATTAACCATCGAGAGAAGCAGGTTCATTTCACCGTGACAATTCACACTGCATCTTCTTAAGCTTCCTGGCAGGTGCATGAAATTGCATTCGTAGGAGAGAATTAGAGCTCTCAGAGTAGCAGAGTGCAGTTGTGTGCGGTGAGAAGACAAAGTAGAGGGTCAGCTAAGGGTGGTGGCAGATATATCCTGTGGGTCAGCATTATGTCCTGGGGACCAAAATGCCACTGCTACTTCAGTGTTATGTACTGGATACTGATGATGTATTGGTACCATGATCACTATGAACCAAAGCTTCCTACATCATGAATAAATTTTCACTCTCACACTTAGGACTTTATCCATAGAAATCAAACAAACTAATGACCAAGTGATAGCTTCCATAGTTTTTGGTTATAAAATTCTCCCTGAGGTTTTGATAAAATTCATCTTAGATTTTATAACCTTGCTGAAGTTTTTTTCATAAATGTTAGCATGTGTCATCTTTTATCTAACATTTAATAATATTTTATAATTATGAATATGTAATACTTTAATGAAGTCATAGTTTATATCCAAAGGATTGACAATCACTTTTAAGCTTTTGTAAATGATTTGATAATTGGTCTCCTGCCTTAAATAATAGTTCTCCTGCTCACCTAATAGAAAGTTCATGTGTTAACTATGTAACAGATCATATTATTATGATGAAATATATATA